TTTTACCAAAAATCGACTACTCCAGAATTTCTCGGGAAAACACTTTTTCTTATTAATTTTGGTGCGTAGAATCCAAAACAATTCGTACGTTTTCGATTAGACCTCTCAATAAAAAGTTATGGACAAAAAACAAATTTCGAAAAAAAATTCAAAAGGCTGTAACTTTTGAACTAGTAGCCCAATCTTGGAACTCTTTGAAATTATGGATTCTACAGGCCACATTCTATAAGAACATTTTTTTCCCGGGTCGATCTGAGGCAATTTTTTTTTCGGGCCTCAAAAAAAGGCAGTGTATAACCTTCCTTTTTTACCAAAAATCGACTACACCAAAATTTCTCGGAAAAACACTATCTTATTAATTTTGATGCGTAGAATCCAAAACAATTCGTACTTTTTCGATTAGACCTCTCAATAAAAAATTATGGACAAAAAACAAATTCGAAAAAAAATTCAAAAGGCTGTAACTTTTGAACTAGTAGCCCAATCTTGGAACTCTTTGAAATTATGGATTCTACAGGCCACATTCTATAAGAAAATTTTTTTCCGGGTCGATCTGAGACAATTTTTTTTTTCGGGCCTCAAAAAAAGGCAGTGTATAACCTCCCTTTTTTACCAAAAATCGACTACACCAAAAATTCTCGGGAAAACACTTTTTCTTATTAATTTTGGTGAGTATAATCCAAAACAGTTCGTACATTTTCGATTAGACCTCTCAATAAAAAGTTATGGACAAAAAACAAATTACGAAAAAATATTCAAAAGGCTGTAACTTTTGAACTAGTAGCTCAATCTTGGAACTCTTTGAAATTATGGATTCTACAGGGTATTCCATATCCCCCAGACCCCCCGGTTGTATGTTTTTGAAATTTGAAGTTTGAAATATTCATTCGGAATGAAGATTTGATAGTATTCTTTTCAAGTCTCAAAAGACCTCTGAGGGGTTAACGTTTTAGGTAAAAACATACAGCAGGGAGGTCTGGGGGGTATGGAATACCCCCCAGCAAAGAAACTTATACGATCCTTCCTTTACATTCATCATGAAACCATTTGCATACCTTCATTCGAATAAAATTCTCGTTTACTGGGGGGTATTCCATACCCCCCAGACCTCCCGGTTGTATGTTTTTACCTTCTCTTATATATATGGTTTTTACCCATGTATGCTGTGGTTATACCTTTGGTTATACTTTATACATTTTCATTTGAGCCTGGATAGGCAACACATTGTACAATGTCTTTTCACGTATTGCCCATCAGCGTGATGGACAGAGAAATAGGCAACTTGTCAAACTGCACTGTACGCTCTCGGAAAAATTTTCTTCAACGCACTAAATGCAGTAGGACCAGTTTTTATTGTGCTAAAAGAGTTGTACGAGGGGCATTCTATAAATGACAAGATTTGTTTGTTCACCTTCACCTCACCACAACCGCCACGATTTTAGTAAGCAAAGGTACAGGCAAACGAATGAAGGAGAGATGCGACGAGAAGGTTACAAAGTTTTAGTTAGCGAGGAACGTATCGGTTGTTAATAAAAATCTGATTAGTTGATGGTGAATTTATTTCTACAAACAAATCACTTTATCCACATAAATTAATATGTACAACCTTCGTCACACTGCTTAAATAAGAGTACGTATTTATATAAATATATATATAATCTGTATTTTTTTCCTGTTAAGTTTTATATATATTTATTTATCTCATGATAAGCTCTGGGGCCTTAGCGTGTTTTTCTCACGGCAAGTTACTCTAATAATATTGAACAAAATTTGTGTCTCGCGCACCAGCGCACGGTTAAATGCGCAGCAGTAACCGCACGAAGAGAGACCCATCATAGAGGTAGCCTGCACAACACAACAAACAATCGAATATTATTTACCAATTTAATTTGTAACAACAACACAAAAGGTAGACCACAGTACCTTGCTCACATATTACATAATTAACATTTATATATAATATAATTATAAACATAATATATATATAATATACTAGTTAAAAATAAATTCATCTAATAATAAAATTGGGTATCTATACTTACACAAAGAAAAAAATTACATCTGTTAGTCCATCACCACAGTTAAGCTAATGGGGGGGGCCGAGCCATGGAATACGGACCCCGCACGTACTAACATATTAACGATGAGGTGCATTACAATCTTCGAGACGCGCGCGCGCACAACACACACTTTCGCACAAGCTACGCTAATGCTACTACGCTAGGATGCCCTTGAATCCCTCCAGAGCACTTCTGGAATGTGTCATCAATGGTATAAACTCAAATCGATGAATAACGTGATAAATAAAAAAAACCGAGTGAGCGGGGTGCTGTGGTCCGAGAGCGCACTGCCAGAGCGCCATCTATCTTATAAAAATATCCGGTGGCACGAGCGCGCACCTCCCTGGCTCTTTGTACTTCTTGAAGGCATCAATGTCAACAACTAAGAGATTTCCAAAGTCCTATATACAGTTTGATCCTGTATTGCACACAGATATGGTAACAAAGATACAGGGCGGATGGTTGTTATTTCCGTTTGGCGTGTAACATTTCCATTAGTAACGTTTGCGTCGGGGCGCCGCCGTTGCAGTGTTTGTAGTACAGATGCTCCTCGCCTCTTGTCGCCAAGTTGTGCATTTCGGGCAGTAATTGTAACATTTTGTGGAACTTATTCTGAAATGATGATCGATTAGTACTCAAGGGGACAAGTGGGCGAATACGGACCTGTACTTGTGGATAACACGTCACCGTATATTCTAATAAAGCTTGCTGAACTTGATCGTATCCCTCTTGAATGTGCTTCCTATTGGTTATGCCTCTAACATCTACTAAAAATACACGTTAACAATGGCAGTGAAGATTAAGAGGTGTTGGTCTTAAAGTTAGCATCTCTCATACTCCACAAAAACTGGGCTAACTTCACAGTGGAGATGCTAACCTCACTCAACGACGGTCGGGCAGCGTACAAACCTGGATTGAGAAGTAGCAGAAACTTAAGGCAGATGTAATCGCTGATGTCGAACTTGAGCTCCTGAAGTTTGGCCGTGATGCTGTTGAAGTGTTCCGCCAAGGTCGGAACGCCGAGCAGGCCCAGACTGAGAAGGTCGAACTTTTGCCCGTTGTGCAGCGTCGTCTCGTCGGGCAGACTGTTATGCATACGCTGGTGTATGTGGTCTAATACTAGCATGTCGGACCACGAATGTTGTAACAACTTCATTTGGTCGTCAACCTGTCGGAATAAATTCGAAATTATTCGAGCAAGTACAGGATATGCGTATGCTAATTAGGGATTCCTTAAGCTTAATTTGTCATGGGAAATGGTTTTCTTTACAGCACCCCCTGCTTAATTATACGACTTTTCGTGTTGTGACTACACATTGTGTTTTTTTAAGTAGCTTGCTTTGATGGTATCACCTCAGAAATTTGAACTAAACCGAAACTTAAACCAAAATAGAGATTTTCGCGAAATTGAAATCTTAGGAGGCAAAATAAGGGGATACTGTAAAGATATCTGAAAGAAATTTGCAAGAGCAATTCGAAAACGCATACAAACATTTGAGAAGAAAATATGCATGCATTTGATCTTATTTCCAAGAGACAAAAAACGCCTTTAGCATTAACAGCTACGTTGCCGTTTACTCGCAACAAAAAAAAGTAACTTTTCCATATTTTTACATCCATAATTTCTTTGCAATCTAAATGTACAACAGGGTGAGTCAACGATTGCGCGGAGTAACTTAATGCCTTGAAGATAAGATTTTTCGATAGAGTGCTTTTGTATTATAATATGGTTGAATATTCTCCACATTTAAAAAATATTTGGAATTATACAGGGTGCGCCCACAAAGTAGGGCGCCAAAATGGTACATTTTTTTAAATAGAACCCCCTACGTGTAATTGTACGTCTTTTTTTTTGAATGGTTAATATCCGAAAGTAGTTTTGTAGATAATTCAATTTTTAAGAAAAATTGGGCATTTGCAAGCGTCAGTATATATTGTCAAAATGATTACTTAAATTTTAATTCCAGGTTTTACATCTTTTATCCTGGGTTAAGTAAAAGTCAAATAAATACATCTACTATGAAACATTAGAAATATAGCTTACAGAGTGTTTTTTTTGGTAGATCTAGAGTTGCAAAACTTCATATTAAAAAATCTCACTTTTTTAAACGAAACACCCTGTATATTGTTCTGTCATCATTTAGCTCCTCCAAAAACCTTCAACTTTTGATAATAATGTCCTATACCTATCTCTGATAATTATCGAAACAGCTTGGTTTTCCTGGTTTTTATATTCTAATCTTAAATAAGTTAAATGTAATTGACATAATAGTGAGGTGGCCATGCAAAAACGCAATTTTTATCTATCTCGTCCAAAACGAAAATCGTATCGATTAATTTATTTTTCAAACAATTTATTTTAAGTCCAAAAACTGGAGAATAAGTACAAACATTTGACTACAAAGCAAATTTAATTTAACTCCTAATGTCATCCAGTTAGTGATATTAGTTTCATTTTTTTTTCAAAATTATTATGTAAATTAGAACTTATTTCAGATTAAAATATAAAAAAATAGAAATACTAAGATATTTGTTTATGTTTTTACTATCAAATTTATTCTTCAGTTTTTATAGACTTGATGAATTATTAGAAAAATGAATTAATAAATATGATTTTAGCATTGAACAAGGCAGATAAAACTTGCATTTTTTTTGCATGGCCACCTCACTATTATGTAAATTACATAGAACTTATTTAAGATTAGAATATAAAAACCAGGAAAACCAAGATGTTTCGAAAACTATCAGAGATAGGTATATATAGGACATTATTATCAAAAGTTGAAGGTTTTTGGAGGAGCTAAATGATGACAGAAAAATATACAGGGTGTTCCATTTAAAAAAGTGACTTTTTTAATATGAATTTTTGTAACTTTGGATCTAGAAAAAAACACACTGTAAGCTATTTTTTAATATTTGATAGTAGATGTATTTATTTGACTTTTACTTAACCCAGGATAAGATATAGAGCCTGTAATCAAAAATTAAGTAATAATTTTGACAATATACTGACGCTTGCAAATGCCCAATTTTCCTTAAAAATCGAATTATCTTTAAAACTACTAGCTTTTCGGATATTAACCATATAATAAAAAAGACGTACAATTACACGTAAAATTCAAAAATGCATTCAGATACAGGGGGTTCTATTTAAAAAATGTACCATTTGGGCGCCCTACTTTGTGGGCGCACCCTGTATAATTCAAAATATTTTTAAAATGTGAAGAATATTCAATCATATCATAATACAAAAGCACTCGATCGCAAAATCTCATCTTCAAGGCATTAAGTTACTCCGCGCAATCGTTGACTCACCCTGTACAAATAAAAGTTGGTTGTCCTAGTTTTCTAACTCAATGGGTTGTCCAAACCATAAAAACATAAACAAAAGATGAGCGGATAAATACGCCATGGCTAAACTATACTGCGCTCGCATCTCCAGATGCAGTCTTATGGACTAATTGCCTCTCTTACTAATTTGCGTCATTCTTCAATATCGCTATCCTTGTTCCTCAAAGCCACGATGCCAAACTGACGTATGATTGAATTGAAGTATTAAAACAACACACAGCCGTCTATAATTACAAGCCGTGCTGAGAATTATGGCAACACTGCATGGTAGGCCGATTTCCTAATTCAACTTGACAGATTTCGGTGTATTTTATGTGTGTTTTGGGTGTAATATTCCTTTTTACCTGTTTTAACAGAGCGAGATTGCGACAATTTGTGTTACTCCGTACGGAATGAACAGAAATTATTATTCAGGTTAAGTTGCTAAACGAAATATATCGATTTATTGTCATAACCTCTAAAGCAGGCTACTCCTTAGTGGACCTTTTACAAGCACTTGTATTTGTTCAAAGTACCTGTACAAGCTCAAATCTGACCTACACACTACGTGGTACGTAAGTACGGTAAGTGTTTATCGTGAAAGAATACAATAATTATTTTATTAGTTGGTATTTCAGATATTCTAGCACGGACATGTCAAGTCGATTTTCTGAAGGAACCTTCCGACTTATTCCCAGGAGTTCACGGTACGGGAATTTGAAGTCTACGGGGCTCCCCTCTTTAAAAGCTTTGTACCTAGACCTACTGGAGTACCGACTGGCTTAAAATCTGCCATTCCGAATCACACCTGGTCATTGATAAAACCTAGCTGATGCACATCGATTTACTATCCTTTTGCCGAAATTAAGTGCCCAAGCATGTGCTTCACCTCGACCTCCTTCGACAGAAGTTCACCAATTTCAGAGATCTCGATGGAAAACACATTATGATGCAGTTACCAATTTACAGCGTTCCGAATTTTAACGTCAAATAAAAATGTTATTATCCATTTTTGTAAATAAATTAAATATATGTACAATTGTAAGCTGCTTAAGTATCTTTCTTCTGTATTAAAACCACCAAGGCGAAACACAGGAGAGAGAAGAGCAACAAGACTATTAAAATTATATCGGCCCACCGATTGACTTTCGGACAACGTTGCCAAACTTCTCAGCATGGCTTCTAATTATAGACGGCTGTGAAACAACATAACCTCCTTGTGCTGTCACTGTCACGTTTGTTAATAAGTTTGACAAGCATGTACTGTTGGTCCATAACTGCATCTGGAGGTGCGAACGCACTACAGTATAGACGTTGCCACTCGCGACCGACGAAAGGAAGTAGAATCCAAAAAATCTTTTGTTCTGGTCTTGAGGTTGTGCTAAGAAAGAAACCAAAATGAAAAAGCTTGAACTGTACCCGTAGAAGCCCCCAGTAAACACCACAGCCCAAATAAAGGAAAATTCTATGATCCCTCTGTACAATTCTATTTATTTATTTATGAACATAACAAGTTACCCCAATAACAATGTTCATGTACATAAGGAATATTAAAAAAATGTATGTTAAGAGTGTTAAAATAAATGAAAAACAAAGGAAAACAACAGAAGAAATAAAAAAGAAAAAAAAATGCTGTGAACAATTTATTAGTTCTTGAATATTGTCACACGTTCTTGCAAACTGTCTTAGGGACATATAAAAAATATCTATGGATATATACAATCATTATGAAACCAAACCATTTAGGGAAAAAGCCATACAACCGGGGGGGGGGGGGGGGTCTGGAAACTCCGCCTCCAATAAAGGAAAATTCTATCATCCTTTTCTACAATCATTATGAAATCATTTGTGTCTCAGACGAATTACATATACTGTATACTGGGGGAATACCCCTCAGATCCCCGGGTGCTACCTTTTGTTCTCTCGTAAAACGTAAACTCCCGAGTACCCTCGTGATATATAAGGTGAGTACTAAGGAATAGTAACATCCGTTTTGGGAAAAAAACCATACAACCGGGAGTCTGGAGGGGATGGAATAACCACGCCTCCAATAAAGGAAAATTCTATGATTATTTTCTACAATCATTATTAAATCATTTGTTTCTCAGACGAATTACATATACCGTATACTGGGGGCAGAGCTGGGCTGAATACTTTAAAAAAGTATTTGAATACTAAATAGTAAATACTTTACACAAATCAAAGGTATTTGAATACTAAATACTTTTACGTCCAGCACAAGCAAATACTAGATACAGATACATTGAAAAGTATTCAAATACTTTAAAAAATAAGTATTCAAATACTTTAGTTAGAATGTATACGAATACTATAAAAAGTATTCGAATACAGTAAAAAGTATTCAAATACTTGTCACTCAAATATATTAAAAATTTAAAAATAAAATTTCTTATAGAATGTGCCCTGTAGAACCCATAATTTCAAACAACCTGGGTTGAGGTGAATTTTTCATCTGTGGCGAAGATGGAAATTACCTTAGGCCAGTTCCGAGCATTCTACCGGCTACTCCGAATTAGGTTTTCCTGCAGTTTTCCTAATTCGTAAGGTAAATACCGGAGTAGTATAGACCATCTTAAGACCTTCTGCAGAGGCACCTCTAAATAGCATTATGCGGGTCACTCTGTAATTGGGCGGATGCCTGTTGAGGGCCCAAAACAAGAGGGATAATAAAATAAAATAAAATAAAAAACAGTTCCAAGATTGGGCTACTATTTCAAAAGTTACAGCCCTTTGAATTTTCTTCCGAAATTGGTTTCTAGTCCATAACTTTTGATTGAGAAGTCTAATCGAAAAAGTACGAATTGTTTTGGATTCTAC